CTTGTTCTGTTGTGTAGACTATCACTCAAGTTAGAACCGCCAGGTACAGCGTCATCATCTTCATCCAGAGAAGATGTAAACACATACCCCCCACCATCCCCCCACACAGAGCCGAGAAACCAGCTCACAGTTTCACGAGTCTCAGCCACACATCGCAAGTCTCGCAGTCTCAGTGCCAAGTAAGATTTTTTTTTTAACTTGTGTTTTAAGAATTAGAAAATATTTTTTTTTAACTTTTGTTTTAAGAATTAGATGATTTTTTTTTTAATTGTTTGTTTTAAGAATTATTTTTTTAAAAATGTTTTCCAGACACTGGATTATACAAAAAATGTTCACCAATTATTGGATTTTAATAAAAAAAAATATTTCACAATTTTTTTCCTAAAATACCTTAAGTTTAATTTTTTTTTTTTTTAATTGGTAAAGATCTATGAATGTGATACATTTTTTTTGTTGAATACATTTAAGTTTTTGTAATTTATGTGGTTGTTTAAAAAACTAATTTTTTTAATCTAAATATGCTTTGCATAACAAAACATCATTTTTTTTTTCGATTATAAAAATAATTGTCTTTTTTTTAAGTTACTTTGTTATTTAAAAGAAATATACAAAAAATAACTTTTAAATCCATTTAACCTACACAAAGTGTGTCTTGTAACCAAAGCACAAATGTCTCACAACTAAACTGTCTGGCCATTTCAGCTTCATGTCATGTACACACCCACAAGTAGAAAAGTCCAACAGTCTTCCAAGTAGAGCCACCGCCCCTTACATCCAAGGTATCCGCCATTTGCTAGACGACAGCGTACTGGAGGAGTCGCCCTGTGCCTCCAGCGAGGGATCTGTGTGCAGCAAGCTACAGACAGGTAGGGGGGGGAGGGGGACATAATTTGTTTTACATTTAAAGAGTTGTTTAACTTTGGAAGGTGTTTCAGATTTATTGGAACTTGTTTAAGATTTTTTTAGGTTTTGTTTGTTGCTTATTTATTATTCTTATAAAAATAGGGAAGAAATTTCAGATTACTTGGTTGTTTTTTTTTTTTATATTAAATTTTGTTTAGATAGGGGATCAGATTTAAAATTACTTGATATTTTTTATATAATTTATTTTTTCTACAATGGAGGATCAAAATTCAGATTTCTTGATTTATTAGAAGTAAAATATTTTATATACACAAAAAAAAAGAATGTAATGAGTATAATTAATAATGACTTGAATTTTGTTCTGTTTCCTTAGATAAGGAAATGATAGAATCAACATCGAGTGACCAGGAGTCTTTCTGGCCAGCCATAAACAAGTAAGTTGTCAGTGTTGTGTTCTTACATTTAGCAATAGTCAATGTCCAGAACAGTGGTCAAGGCAAGTTTGTTGTGGAAATAGATTGGATTAAACGTTCTGGCAATGAAGTGGTTTAATTAATCTTAATGTGTGCACATCAATTGGGAATGTTTAATTTACCGTGCTGTAACTTTAACTGTTTTTTGTTTTGTTTTTTAAATTTTCCACAAATATTGAATTACTATTTCCTTGAAATATATTATTTTCACTGGAAAACCTGAAAATAATTTTATTTGTTATCAGAAACATAGATGTGCATCACGCTGTAAAAAAAAAATGTTTTAATTTATATGTGGCCAGTTACATTTCTGGTTCTGTTAGTTGTAATATGTCTATGAGAAAATGTGCTGACGTATGTTTTGTGTGAATGTCAGCAGTTGATGTATGTACATTTTGTGTCATATAAGGCTATGTGCACCAAGCCTAATCACAACCCACTCATTATTTCAGCTTTGCCAGAAGAGATTCAGAAGATGAACAGGCCAATGGGAAAGAACATAGTTTCACCTGTCAAGGTTGTTTGAAAAGAAAAACTTTGATCAAGGAAGGGAAAAAACCTACAGTAAGTTCTGATGGGCTTTTTGTGGGGGGGGGGGGGGGGGGGGGTGTTGGATGTTCTGATGATTGGATGGTGTGGCCTAGCGGTAGAGAGCTTAACTGCCAACCCTAATGTCTGGAGTTCGAATCAGGGTTTAAGTCAGTAGAATGTTCCTGAGTCCACCCAGCTCTGAAAGGTACCTAGCTCATGTTAGGAAAATCAAAAGCGGCTGGGTATAATTCTGACCACACTATCCCTTCACATGCTGAGGTCTCTAAAACCAATGAACATCTGCCCCATGTGTGTTGGGCACAAACGGGAAAAGATGATGATGAAATTCTGATGGGCTTTTGATCTAAACACATTCACCGTTCACCTTTTTGTCCTGAACACTTTGACTGTTATTTTCATCTTTGCTGAGCTTTGAAATAACAAATGATTTAGATCTGTGCATTCAGCTGATGTTTTGACATGGCCTGTCATCATTACCACAACATAACTGTTTTGTTTTCAAGCTGATGTTATAAACACATTAGGCTTGTCTGATTAGCTGTCAATATTTTTATACTGAAACTTTGGTTTCATCCTGCATGTTATATGTAGTTTGAAGTGACCTACAGATTTTATAGTTTTAGAAGAATTATATAGTGAGTAACATTAAGATGAGCTATACTAGATGTTATAATTTGAGATTAACCACGCAGTGTGGTTAAGATGACTTCAAAATTTCTGCCATACAGTAAAGTTTAGGTGACCTATAATAGATGTTATAGTTTAAGATGAAGTTAAGATGACCTAAATATTTCTACCACTCAGTAAACTTAAGATGTCTTATAATAGATGTCATAGTATATATAAGATGCAAAGTTGAGATGACCTATAATAGATGTAATAGTTTAAGATGCGAAGTTAAGATTACCTATAATAGATGTTATAGTTGAAGTTAAAATGACCTATAATAGATGTTATAGTTTAAGATGAAGTTAAGATGACCTAAATATTTCTATTGTTGCCAGGTCTCATCATGGTCCAGGTACTGGGTGGCGCTGTGGGGCTCAAATCTTTTGTTTTATCCAGCGAAAACTCTGCGAGGATCAGAACGCTCAAATGTAAGAAGTTTTTATTTTATTATTTTTACACATTTTATAATGAGACAAAAAATTTGGAAATATTGGTGGGGATTAGAACTATATAAATTTGTCACATGCATTTAAATTAAAATTTTGTTTAATGTTTCAGTTTAAATCCAATCCACATAAAATGACATCAATAATTGGGTGGATGGTTGTAATGGGAGACAACCCAATTCAACCAGATGCATTCCAGCTTACAGACCCTGTCAAAGGTAAAATACAAAATACAATGTAAACTTTTCCACACTTGACTTCCAATGTTCAGTGCTTTATCGTGGCTGTTAGAAACAGTAATTGTAGCATGGTGTATGTTGGTTATCTAAGCTAAGGCTATTCAGTTTTACTATATCTTGGGGTTGGTGTCAAACTTAAAATGTCTTTGTTGTTTGTTTGAGTAAATGTTTGTTTTGTTTGTTTCAGTAAATATTTTTGTTTTCTGTTTGAGTAAATGTTTGTGTTGTCTGTTTGAGTAAATGTTTGTGGTGCCTGTTTGCGTAAATGTTTGTGTTGTCTGTTTGAGTAAATGTTTGTGTTGTCTGTTTGAGTAAATGTTTGTGTTGCCTGTTTGCGTAAATGTTTGTGTTGTCTGTTTGAGTAAATGTTTGTGTTGTCTGTTTGAGTAAATGTTTGTGTTGCCTGTTTGAGTAAATGTTTGTGTTGTCTGTTTGAGTAAATGTTTGTGTTGTCTGTTTGAGTAAATGTTTGTGTTTTCTGTTTGAGTAAATGTTTGTGTTGCCTGTTTGAGTAAATGTTTGTGTTGCCTGTTTGAGTAAATGTTTGTGTTGCTCCCCACAGGAAATGTGTACAAGATGCGTGCAGGCACACAGTGTAATGCATTACAGTGGTGTCGGTTTCTGAACGAGGCTAGCAAGAGAGGAACACAGAAGGTAGGTTGTAGTGTAGGAAATTGGGGGTAATTTTGGGGTAGTGAGTTGGAGGGGGGTCATTTGGGGGTGGTTGGTTGTATGATGCCACTTAAGGGTAGTGGGTTGGACAGTGCTTTAAGGTGTTGGGAGTAGTGTGGCTTTAGGGAGTATTGAGTGTATTAAGGTGGAGGGTTTATATCAAGTTTTGGGATTAGTTGGCTTGAGGGTGCCATTCATTATGTAGTTTTGCTCACACAAAAAATGAGTTGTGGAGAATTTGTATTTGAAAATTGTTCAATAAATAAACATTAATTCATCTTTTTTTTTTACTCTTTCTTCCCAGCCTGTGAACTTAATGTCTTTTGATTGACGACCACTGGACACCATGTAATGCACTGGACTGTGTCACAAAGCAGCCATCCCTCCCCTCCACCATCCATTGGTTCAGCTGGTCTGAACACATTTTTTCTGAAAGGGGAGGTAACTCACATTCATGATCAGGGGACATAACTCCAGTCGTTTGAGAAACTTTTAAAAAAACTCATGGGAAAAAATTTCTTGTCGTCTTACGTGAATTGAGCTGTGTTTTTCCAACTACAGTAATTCTAACAAATTTAGCCCTGCAGCGGATGAGATGGAACTGACCCATGTTTTTTTTTTATAAGTTTGTGGTCTGAGGTACTGGTTTTACACTGATGGAGCATCTGTGTTGAATTGTTGACGACAATTTTAAACTGTTAGCAGCTGAAGCAAAGTTATCAATCAGGAAAGTGTCACCATGAACTGGATACAACATTAACCCCCAAGTTTCAACATCATGCCCCAGTTGATATGAATCGAGAAAATTTTAAAAATTTTTCATATCTCCGGCTAGGTCACGTCAAAAACATTTTCAACTCCTGTCAGCTGGTAATGTTAACGTTAACATTCCACTCATGAGATAATTTTATTTTTTTATTTTTTTTCCCTTGATGTCTCATAAAAACTAGCCCCCAGTCAGTACCTTGGAATACTCATTTATTTTTATCATGTTCACTAAGTGGCCATCATCTGGGATTGCGCACCAAATTGAATGCGCACCAAAGTGTGCGACCAGCTTGCTTTCACAGACCCTAAACTTGTGGGCTTTTAAATTTTAACACTGTCACTTATTAAATTATGGATAACTGGTTGGTTTTAATATCTAGTTATTTTTAAAATAAGGTTTTTAAAATAGTTTGATTAAAGGTTGAAAAAAAAGTAAAACATGTCTCGCTGTTTCTCTCAAATTTTGTCATAGGTTCTGTTAAGAAACAAAAGTTCAAGAAAGTCTTATTTGACTACTTTGTTTCTCTTTTGTTATTTTAACAAAAGCAATTTAATATTAATTTTTTCACCACTGATATTAAATATATTGTATAAAATTGCATTTTACTTTTTCTGATAGTTTAAATATAATAAACTTTGACTCCATCACGCAATGCTTATCAACAAAAACTGAGATTTGTGCATAAAAATGTATTTTTAAATATTTTAATTTGGATAATTCAATAGCTGAAAAATATATGTAATAATTAGCTTAAACAATCAAGGCATGAGCCTAATTACATGTTCAAAGGGTTAATTTATGTTTAAACTTCAACCCCACAGCTTGTTCACTCATTCATCTGCTCCATTCTTTATATTGGCTAATTTTGTCACATGACTGTTGGCAATACAAAACTTTGCCTAACAAATAGTTTGAAAAAATATAAAAAACAAAACTAAAAGATATTGTGTATTCTAGATTGTTTGAAATGCCTGCCTTACTCCCGCTTTCCGCCCTGTGTGTAGCGCCACATATTTTCTGTGTGCAACTACACATGAAATTTTCTTGCTCTTACCTATCAGTATTTCTCTTTAGCACTACATCCTTTTTATTTCACTGTGGCTGACTTAAAAGTTTCAAATTTTTTCTTTGTGATTTTTTTTTTTAACAATTTTTTAGCTGAAACAAAATGCTGCTTGTTTAAACAGTTTTTGCTTACCTTAAGTTCTTCCAGATGTAAAAATAATTCAATTTTTCAAATTTTTTTTTTTTTATTATTTAAAAGCATTAAATGTTTTGAGCTTACATATCAGAAATGATGTCATTTCTTTTTATTTATAAATTTTCCCTGTAGGAATTTTCTCTCAGTACTTTATAGAGGTTAAAAATGTAAGTGGGATGTAACGTAACACCCATCCCGCACCCTAATGCTAACTATTACTGGAGAGGTGGTTAGTTTAGATAAACTTAAGAACTGCTGCCTGAATACTCCGTTGTTTTTTATTCACATCAATGTTTACTTTAGCTGTCTCAGTCGCTAAATTGCTATCACTTACGCTTGGATTGACAGTAGCATAGTGCTTTTAAATCAAGTAACCTCGGCCAAGACAAAAACAGGCTATTGTTTATTTGTGCTGCAGGCTAATTAGTTTTATTCTGCATACCAAAATACTTTTTACTCTTTTCTCAAAACTCCAATGTTGTCTTAATCTGTTCAGTTTCTAATAAAGATGAGAGTAGTTCGAAATAATTTTTTAAAAATTATCCAGCTCACCCCCCATGCTGCTTGTTCTGACATTTCTCTAATGAAAGCGATCTCGGGTCTATGCAATAAAGTGTGGGTTGTGTTGAATTCACCTGTTGCTGATTGTTTTACATTTGACTGTGTCATGGTTTGTTTTGTTTCAAATCTTCCATGCCTAGCCCAGCTGTGACCTCATGTTTTCAGATACTATCTTTAAGTGCAAGGCTTGTCAACTGTTAGGGGGGGGGATTCTTTTATATTTTTTTTTTTTTAAAATAGTTTCATTATTAGAATTGTGCAAATATTTCAACAAACTTACTTTGGTATGTTGTCATTGTGTGTGTACATGGTTTAAACACCAAGATGACATAATACTTGCAAGAACATGACCTGTGTGTGTGAGTTCACGGCTCCTTTATAACATGACAGGAAGTGCCTTCTGTCACAACTAGGCACTGGTAGACATGTATAGGTGTCTAGATATATTGATACAACTCCCTCCCCATATGTACATGCCACATATATCTTTCACAAAGCTTGTGAAATGTGTATATTCTACTGGACTTGTATTGGTTCTGATGTTTATTATAACCCTCAACACAGAAGAGCTGAACAATTTATTTTTTTCATGTGTAATAATTAGCTAATCTATGCCCCATTACAGCTAAACAACAGTGCTAAATAAAATTGTTCAACTTTCCTGTGTTGGGTGCTATACATCAATATAACTACTAGCCAACATTAACACAAAAAACCTAAAATTAGTCAACTATTTATTAGAATTTATAATTAAATTCTGTTAGATTTGTGTCTATTTACTAAATAACTAAAATATGTATAGATTTTTTTTTCTCTATATAAACACAAAAAAATGAGAATGCTACTTATTTTTTAAAAAAGAATAAAATTATTTTTAGTTCTCATGTATTTTTATTGAAAATAAAAATTTTCATATATGAACATTTCAGTTTTTTAACCCACCAGGTTGTATAATTTGGTTCAACATACCAGAATGTATTGTACCAGAATTTAGTGTACCAGAATGTATATAACTGACTTGAGACATGTAACCAATCCAAATGTGTGCAATAAATTGTAGTCAAGGCAGACGCAAACTAGACCTGCGTCTTTAAAACTTTTTTTATATTTTGACCATTAACTGAACAGAACGTTTTTCAAAATAGTAGTAATTAAAATTTAAAAAAATTTTTAAATTGTTTTAAATTTATTCAACAAAGTTAAAATTTTCTTAAGGAAATTTGTACAATATGTAGAGGTGTTTTTATTGTATAAAGTATTTTTACGAAGACAAATTTCAAGTGGAAAATTGTACAAATATATAGATCTGATGTGGTCTAGAGCACCTAATTATATCAGCACTGTCATGTAGTGTGGAAACAGTCATTATCACTACTTTTTTCATACAAACTATTTGAACTGGGGTAAGGTTTTAGGTTGTGCTAAAAACTTCTTCAATATATCCAGAATTTCTTTTTAAAGCATTTTCAAGGGCTTCGTCTTTTAATGCATTGAAATACTTAACATTTTTCCATCAGTTTTAAAGTTTATGATGCATTGTATCATTACTGTAGCTATGTTTTTATTGAATACTTTGTTTTGTGAAGAGTATAATTGAAGCTCTGTTTTTGGGGTATACCTAATTCTAGGAAATGTGCATTTTAACCATTTTAAGAAAGTTAATTCTAGGATAAGCACAATATTTTAACCTGTATTTTCTCTCAAAAAATTATTTTGAGATATTTTTTTTTAAAAGAAACAAGAATTAGTAAGGTGTTGGATACTTTCTATTCTTTTTAATTGTTTTAAATGTTGGATAAAGGGACACTATTTTAAGGGAAGTAATCGGTAGTTGTACATAGTTGTGGGTATTAATGAATTTGACAAGATAATACTATTACAGTGGGATATTTTGAAAGTTCCCCTTTATTCATAAGTTTTGAATTCTAAACTGAAGAGACTTTAAAACCCTGACTGACACCAGTTTGTGTAGACACATGCTTATAATTTATTCTTGTCTTTTAGTTTTGAAATTGTTTACAAGTTCATTGGGGGCTGGGGACATCTTTAGCTGTAAAATATTTTAAAATGCATGCATCAATTCTGCTTTATCTAACCCTGTGAGTCATGACAGTGTAAATCATAGATGTGTCTGCACAAGCTCAACCAGTCTAAGGGAAATAACCTGAGTGAGGTGCATTCCAATTAAGCCGCCCCTGAGTGGCGGCCCTTTATTATGTCCCTTGTCAAACTCCTGGGGCATCACTGATTCTAAAGCTGAATGTATGCATTAGGGACGATTTTTTTCAATATACTTTTTGTTCAGCTCTTGATTCTTTTTAATGCAGTTGTCATGCATAATTGAGTTGAGTTTTTAATTTAACTGACATCAACTTTCTTGTTTGTTGTGAATATCTATCACAACTATTCAATGACTGTTTTCTGCATGTATTTTCACCATGCAAATTAAAATGCAATATGCATAAAAAAAAATTTAAAATAAAGATTTTTAAAATGTAAATCTGGTTTTATTTTTTATATTAATGTTCTGTGTATGACCTATCAGAATTACAGCCTTAATTGCATAACAAACACTACACCTCTTCTGGTTACATGAAAACCATAGCCACAACAACAAAATTTCTGGTGCTGGCCAACTATACTTTAGGCTGAGTTGCCGCCACATGTCGGCCACCATCAACAAAAATGATCTGGCCGGTGAGAAAACTAGCTCTCTCTGATGCTAGAAAGACAATGGAGTCAGCCACTTCTGATGCCAGTACCATGCGACCCAGGGGATGTAAGCTGGGAGATGACTGATTCTTCTGGAACTGATACAAAAATTTAAATGTTTTAGTCAAATATTTCATGGTTTTAATTCTTCATTCTTAAATTTTAGTATTAAGTAAGGAGTCGGCGTGGTCGAGTTGGTAAAGCTCATGGTTGCTAAACCGAAAAGCTCGAGTTCAAACCCTCGGGCAGATGAGGCTCATTAGCTGGGGACAGCCACTCTTCTAGGAGAGACAACTCCAAAATCAAACAACTGCTGCCTTGTAGTTTGTTCTTGGTTGGACCTTTACCTGCTCGACCACATGACCCCCCCCCCCCCTTCATGGTTCTAGTTTGTTAATAGAGAACATTATCTCAGTGTTGTAGAACTAAGATTCAGATTTTGTCATAATTAACACTGATCAAAATTAAAAAAATAAATTACAACAGGACACAAGGTACTCAATTTAAAATACAAGCAAACATCTTAGATTAAGTCACGCCATTCAGAATGAAAACAATAAAACCAAACAGACTCCAATAAAATTTCATTCTATAACTACATTGATGTAAAATAACAAAACAAGCTATAGATTTTTATCAGACAGGATATTATAGAAAAATATTTTAGCATGAGACTTGGCTTCAACAGTTTATAGAAAAGCATAATCTGTTTGTATCAAAATTAATTATTCAGCAACAGATATTCTCTTCATATAGTCTATTCACAACAAAACATTTGTCATTTCTTTTACCTAATTTTTTTAATTTCAAAATTGCTGTGTCTACCTCAGCATCAATATAAATTGCCTAGCTCAGCATCGATATAAATTGCCTAGCTCAGCATAAATGTAGATTTGTTAACTGTCTACCTCAGCATCAATGTAAATTGCCTACCTCAGCATCAATGTAAAAATTGCCTACCTCAGCATCAATGTAAAAATTGCCTACCTCAGCATATTTCTCCCCTGAAAATGCCTCCTCTCCTCTCTTGTACAGTAAGCTGACTACAGAACCTGGACTGGAATAAAAGTGGGTCACATTTAAATAGGGTTTTCTTCTCTAGTATTCTGTTGTAACTAGTTTATGTCTAGAATTCTATCAAGAAAAAATATGATTGGTCAAACAGTGATATCACGTGATCTGATACTTACTTTACTGAATTTACTCGTACACCATGGGGAGCTAACTCTAAAAAAAGAAACATAAAAAATAAACATATTATTTAACAACAGACAATTATCAAGATATAGAATTATCAATAATTACAAAACACATTAAAAAAAACAGGAATATATGATTATACAGCATTAGCTTGTCTTTTATATCTTGGACAACTTCAATAATCTGATGGGTTTTTCTTAAATGTTATTGTGGCAATAATTATTGTGTGTTATTTACTATGAGTATGCTGGTTGAGCAAAAAATAATTAAATGCCAAAGTATTTCTGCATTATTTTAAACAGTAGATCAATCTTCAGTCACCTAACTTTTTTTTTAAAATGCCAAAATTAGTTTTAAAAAAATTATTTGCAAGAACAAGTTGTTTACCATTTTAAATGGCTTTCTACCAGACTTTAAAATATTAGGTATCTTAATTTATTTCCTGTTTTTTAACGTTACGTTCATGTCATTCTTTAGTCATAATGTTTTTCAACGTAATTGGTATAGAATAGAAAGTTAGAAAAAGCAACACATCACATACCCATAGCTAAGGACTTGGTGTAGGAATCTAGTGCTGCTTTAGACATGGAATAAACAACTGCTTTTGAAAACTGTAATATGACACAAAGAAAAAAAAAGATGAATATTTATAAAACAGTACTCTATACACTAGCATTTTGAAATGATGGATTATAGATAACAAGTGAAAATAAACCAATAAAATAAACAATGAATGAATTGTAAATGTAGGTCTGACACTGAAGTATTGTTATCAATGATAGTACTAAACAAATATAAAGACACTGCTTATTATCAAATAACTTACAAACAGTCTGATCTTATTTTTGTATTGAATTCATGTCAAATTTATATGTTGAGAATTTTCTAAAATAACAAAATGTTACATTAAATACAATTTTAAAGTCAAAAGCCCCAGGCCTAAGTAAACAAAGGTTGAAGTCAAATCACTTACAGGTCTATCACTGGCTATACTTGATACATTGACAATGTTGCCTGGTCAAAAACAGAGGAAGAAATGCATCATTATTGTGAGGTTTCTGTTGTATATGATAGATTGTGAGGTATCCTTTGCATATAACATTAAACTGTGAGGTATCTGTTGTATATAACATTATATTTGAGGTATCTGTTGTATACACTGTTAGATTTTATCTGTTGTATATAACAGATTGTGAGGTATCTGTTACATATAATACATCAGACTTTGTAATATTCTTCTCAATAGGTTATCTGTGTTCCCAAACAAGAAATAAGAACAGGGTTATCAGAATCTGTGTGGGTGGCAAATTATAGTTCTGCATCTATTCTTCCATCTAAAACCAACAACAATCATTGTCATTACATTCTTTTGATGGGACGGAGTGGTCTAGCGGTAGAGAGCTGGACTGCTAACCCGTAAGTCTCGAGTTCGAATCCGGGTTCAAGTCAGTAGACCGTCCCTGAGTCCACCCAACTCTGATGGGTACCTAACTCACGTTAGGGAAAGTAAAGGCGGCTGGGCATAGTGCTGACCACACTATCTCTGCATATGCCGAGGTCACAGAAACAAGTGAACTCTACTTCACTTGCCCCATAGACCGTCAGGTTTGAAAGGGAAACTTTACTTTTACGTTCTTTTGCTTAAAGAAAGAACAAATCTATTGCTCACAAAAGGAGGAAAAGTTATTCATTGAATTAGTGCAAAATTTTGCACATTGAACCAGCATAACTATATATAAAAAAATCCCTATTGAATCATACCAATCCAGTGGACCCTCTGATAAACTTAATTCCTTGAAAAAAAATGTGTATATTTATTGCTTGTGTTCTGTATTGTGGTGCTGCACACAAAAATATTGTTGCAAGAGTTTCAGGAGCAAGTCTAACATTTCATGAAACCTAAGACATCTGTAGCTATTGATTCTAATAAATTAGCTATTCACAAAATGTCTCAATAATAGTATTTTTAATGAGATTGCCTAGAAGTAATTATAATTATCATTGAAAATTAAGAAAAAAAAATTACCCTTAGATTTTATAAGATGAGGTAGAGCCAGCTGAGTTAGAAAAAAAACACTCTCCAAATTTGTGCGCATAATCTGACTGTAGTCATCCCTGCCTGCAGTGAACGGATCACGCAGGATGTTCATACCTGCATTGTTTACCTGCAAAATACAAATTTTTAATGAACAAATCCTTAATTTAATTCCTTAATTTAATTGTTATTAAAATATTTTGAAGCTCTTAAACTAATTTATAAATCTAAAATAATCAGTAAGACATGTGTTTTTTTTTAGTCAGCCATAACAAAAAATTATAAAGCTAGAAATAGTCTGTCATTATACTTGGACTAAGGTAACCTTTCAAGTATCCCAGGACTAAGGTAACCTTTCAAGTAACCCAGGACTAAGGTAACCTTTCAAGTAACCCAGGACTAAGGTAACATTTCAAGTAACCTAGGACTAAGGTAACCTTGAAGTCGCCCAGACCTGGACTAGTTTCAACCTGGATTCTTAAAACAAAAAAACTTAACCTGCAGGGTGAGAAAATTTTGAAGTGAAATATTATTGTCAGTACTAAAGCTTAGAATATATGGTTATGTTGAATTAAGTAATACCAACTCGTTGAATTTCCACTGACTGATTTTGTTTTGTAAACTCAGCTTAGTGGAAGTTTTTAAAAAAAGACAACAAATATTTACACATTTTAAATTTAGTTATCTCAAAAATGTGCTCACAAGTATATCAATCTGACCAAATGCCTTTAATGTATCCTCAATTATCTGTTTTTGAACTGTTTCTTCAGTTATATCACCAACACTTGTTTTCACCTGTAAAAAAAATATGAAACTATTTCACTTAAATAGTACAACTACATCAAAGTGGATTGTCATCATAGGTGGATCCCTAGACCACAGTTAAGTGGATCCCTAGACCACAGTTGAGTGGATCCCTACAGACCCCTAGACCACAGGTGGATCCCCACACATCCCCACACAACATTTGGACACCCCTCCACACAACAGACACATCCTCACACAATAGTTGGAACCCCACACAACAGTTAGACACCCCACAAAACAGACACATCCCCACACAATAATTAGACACATCCCCACACAATAGTTAGACACCCCACACATTTGGACACTTCCACACAACAAACATCCCCACACAACAGACACACCCCCACACAACAGACACACCCCCACACAACAGACACACCCCCACACAACAAACATCCCCACACAACAGACACACCCCCACACAACAGGACACACCCCCACACAACAGGACACACCCCCACACAACAGACACACCCCCACACAACAGTTGGAACCCCACACAACAGCTAGACACCCACACACAACATACACATCCCCACACAATAGTTAGACACATCCCCACACATACCACAATGTTTCCCCCAAGTTCCAGACATTTAGCAGCCACTGCTTCCAGCCTCTGCTCATCACGGCCACACAGCATAAGATTACATCCTTGTCGCGCAAACTCCAAGGCAGCGGCTTCACCAATACCAGCACTGGCCCCTAGGTGAATAAAGTAAGTAAAGTTCCCCTTACAAACCTGACAGTCAACGGGGCAAGTGAAGTAGAGTTCACATGGTATACCATTCGAATCGTCCTTAGAGGATTTCATAGTGTCAGCCGCCAACCAATCAAACGCGCGCTTTCTCCGCGTTTTGGTTGGCGGCTGACGTCACGGTGACGTCACGCGACGCGTTTTTGGAGCTAAAAAGGGCCGAAAAAGCCATTTTTTTCTACGTGTAGTTCGGATTTTTTTACGTTTTTTAAAATGGGCCCGAAAATGACACTTTTTCAAACTGGACTTAGCCATTTTTTCAAACAAATTTTTCGAAAAAAGGCCGTTTTGGGTGATTTTTGGATGTAAACAATGGCCTAGGTCAACACGTGTCAAACCACGTGAAGGCACCCAATCGACGATTTCGGTCACGCATGAGTGGTTTTCATACGTTCTCGTGAACTAAATACCAGTTTCTTGACAACAAAATGGAAAACGACAATTTCGTGAAAATAACGACCCTAGAGGAATGGCTCTTGAAGATTATTAAATAAAAATCGGTGTGTTGGCTCTATGTATTGATTCTAAACTTGTCTATAATTGACTAGTAGGGCATGCTGAAACAACGGCCTGAGGGCGCCGTGTAGTGTGTAGTTTTGCTAAATGTAAATTAATCAGCCCAGCCGCAGATCAATCTCAAACTGTTAAAATGGTTGGATGTGAAAAGCTTCTACTTACAAATTACTTCTGAATAATCACATCACACAAAATAATCCCAAAGAAAGCACAAAATAAAATCCTTTAGAAAAGCATCACCATGAAATTTGAAAACCACAGTTTGTCAACCTTAACCAGCCATCTTTGGCTCGATCTAGAGGTCATTCTTTAGCCTACACATGTGTCTTGTCAACCAATTTAGTTTCTGATGGTACACGACATTTAGATAAATATAATATAACAAACTAACTGAATTCCAACATTATATCCATCTAATCCAATATTGAAACAGAATTTGAAGCACAATGATCTAACGAATAAATCCAACTCTATGCGAGTGTCGCAGCTTTAGTCCTGGATACAACCATAGTGTGTAGTCGTGTTGTGAGTAAATTTGCACGAGATAAATCACCGACCTAGACCTTCCTGATGTGTATGGCCCCAAAGTTAAGTGCTGCGAGTAGGGGAGGGCAATTTAACGCCAGAATAGTTTTTTTTTCAATAGTTAGGTCATCAGTAGCTCACGCATCCTAACGGGGTTGAAAGTGTAACTTTAAATTGAACTAGGTGAGAGGAGGAGGGTGAGGTCATTAGAATAACGGAGCTATATTTCTAGTAGAAGAATACGGGGAAATCATAGCTTGAAGTTTGAAGCCGGCATTTCATTTTTTTCATTGTTATTGAGTACAGCCCTTTAATGCACGACTAGGCTACTCATTATGAAATCTAAAAATGTAGTTGTGCTACCATGCAAAAGTAGCCTAATAGGTCTTGTTTATTTAAATGCAGATCCTGTTAGCCTAAAAATATTTGGATACACATTTTAGTTATATCGTAATGATTAATGTTATAATACAATGCATATATTCTGATAGTCCTTCAAGTTTTTGGGCAATCCATAACTTGTATTTCAAATTTATAATGAGCGGGATGCACTCGATGTTTTAAGTGCTACATTCGGTAGCTGTTACTTTGTGTATGACAGCATCCCAATAGTTCACTGTAAATATAAACTGAGCTTGGCGAGATTCCCATCGCCAAGCAATCGTATGATAGACCCAGCAAGCATCACTCGTTAAATTCGACATCATGGCTATACCAGTCCTCGATTTTCATTACAGCCTTTAAACGCCTAGTTCTTGGTTTTAAAAAAAAAAAGTGTCTCCCCCCCCCCCCCCTCCCCGCTTGCGCCGACGTCATCATAGGCCAATACCATGTTGCGATTTTCTTAAACGGATATAACACACCCCTCTCCCCCTCACAGCAAACGCCAACAACGTCACCGAAGGCCCAAGGCCAATAACACGCACCACGGTGGATTTTTTCTTCAATGAGTATATACCCTACCCACCCGCCGCCTTACAACATACCGCATGTCTCTACGAACGGGGTTAAAAGTTTAACTTTAGAGTTCAAGAATGGGAAGGGGTGGTATTCAAACAACGAAGCTGTTTCTTTATAGTACAAATACATAGTTTAAAAAATGATACTTACTGTAACTTACCTACTGCTATAGCATCATACATAATTTTATAAATTAGCTAATTAATTAATTAATTAACTAATGAAATATATCTAATGATAATGAAGGGAGATAGTTTATTTTGGTTAAGGCACGACACACAACACTGTGCGTGCCTGACCGACCTAAAAGGAGATTGTTTATATTATTGTTTTGAGTTTATATTTAACTCAATGCAACGAGCCCGCCGGTTGGCTGAGGCCACGCCGGGGGGACGATCTGTCCGGGATTCAAAGGGACGACTCGAAATATCGTCCCAGTTGACTTTTGAGCAAAAATAATGGCACCACTTTCTGATGGGCTATTTATTTTATAAATTAGGGGGGTTAGAATATGATTTGAAAACAGAATGGTAAAAAAAGAATGGGAAAGTAAAAAAAAAAAAAAAAAAAACCCGAAAAAGTGCAACAAAAAAAAAGTAAAAAAAGCAGATGGCAGCATCAGAGTAGTATTTTTTTCATTTTTAGACCGAGTTTATTAATTGACCTGCTATTAGATCTACTACTAAATTTAGTTACATTTTGTGTTTACAACTTGTGATCAATGTAAAGCAAAGTTGATACAATATTTCACCTGTTACCACAACGTTTTTCCCCGATAATGATAAAAACGTGTTGCTTGCCATGTCTTTATTTTCTTCAAGTCACTAGCAGGCGTACGGCCTTTAACCTGTAACCTTTGTGATTTAACCTTTAAAATAATTTCGGAGTTACCTCCTTTCATACAGTAATCTATTTATTTTGCGCACGTAGTTGTTCAGCTGGGGGAATGATTGAATGGGTCATCCGTTTAGTTTTAGTTTTACTTTCTCGTATATACGAAGTATAGAGAAAGTATTGTAATCGTGCACAAAAATCACTTGAAATTTTAACAATTTTCACCGTATTACACCTCAGTCCTTCTTCACATCCGAAGTATAGAGGACTTATTTTAATCGGGAAAAAATTATCAATCCAGATTTATCAAAATTAAAAGGTTTTATGCGTAATCCAGTCTGAAAAACTGTCCGTATGTCTGTGTGTGTGTCTGTGTGTAAACACGATTACTTGAGTACCGTTACAGCTAGGTTGATGAAATTTCATATATAAGAATTTTATCAAAATCGTAGATCCGTATCAACTTTTGAGCGATTTCCGATAACCGGAAGTGGTACTTTTTCTACTTTGAATTTTTCAAAAGCCTATAACTTGAGTACTATTTCAGATAGATAAATGAAGTTTCACATGTGAGTAAAATATCTAATTTTCTACCTTCTGTTAAATTTTGAGTAATTTCTGTTGACCGGAAGTAGTAATTTACGCTACTTTCGATTTCTCAAAAAACTAATGTAAATTTTTAAAGTACTAATAATATTGCGCACTAGTATGCACTTTTTTATTTGGCGTTCACTTGGTGTGCCATTCTTTTGTCTACGAGATTTTATTCTATTTTTAAAACTTTAAGTATTTAAAATGGATTAAAAATCATGTCTATAGCCCGAGTTCCCATCCCCTGTTGTTTTATATAAGAATATTCGAGAAAGTTTAGGGGAGATCACTCCCGGTTTATTTTTCAATCGTGACGCTTTCTAAAGTTTTTTGACGATTTTTAACCCACTGGTAAAAGTTTATATTTCAAATATTTAGTATATTTATAATATATAGGGCCTATAGTTTATATTTTCTTTATAAATTCTATTTCGTTCTGGAGGTGTGGGGGGAGGTGGCTTTAACATATTTATTTATTTTTAAATCGAGCAATAAATAAAACACAATGCAGATTAAAGCAATATCCTTATTATTTACAATTTGCCTGATCACCCATATCCCTCTTTTCCATAACCAATATAAAAGTTTTCCCCGTTAATTTCTCTGTAGAGATTTTGCTTGATACAACACTGAATTTGATGTCTGACGGTCAACCCTACTGAGACAATTTAACTAAGATTATTAGAAGTCTGTAGCAGCTTAATGGGGGACTGGGCTGGAAATTGTTGTCTTACAGAGACCTACAACACCAAAATGTGATCAACTAGAGACCTACAACATCAAAATGTTAGCCAGGGGACTATAACACCAAAATATCAACCATTGACCTACAACACCAAAATATCAGCCATGGACCTAAGCAATATATTGTACACAATTTCGAATAATTACGTTTTTAAATATTTAGTTGTGTATTTGAATTACGCTGAGTCTCTAGAAAACCTGAACCGACCTAACAGCATGGAAAACGTGCTAACTGAGATAGGCATACATGCATTTAAATTTTAATGTGTCCACAAACCTTAAGTATACATTCTTTCCCCAATGCATGTGTAATGCGGAGAGGTGGGGGGGGGGGGGGGAGAGGTAGTCGCCCATCAATGACGCCACACCCTAAAACGGAAGGGGTAATTTATGTAACGATGTGTTAGCGATTGGCTGAGGAAATGTAACATACCGTTATTTATAAGCAAAAATTATGAGGAAATTATTGTTTCTTAGAATCCTGTATTGGGGGGGGGATGGAGCTTTAAATGGGAGCCTGGTGCTGACCTGTGGGGACGGAGGACCATCTCTCTGAGAAGGGTGAGGGCACCCTGAGCGCCTCCACCCTCCCCACTGGAAAAAATAGAATATATATATATATATATATATATATATATATATATATATATATATATATATATATATATATATATATATATATATATATATATATATATATATATATATATATATATATATAATCTATACAGGAAATATTTAACCAGTGTCCGCCCACCCACCCTCAACCCCCGGAAGTTTCAAGTGCCCCGAGGATGGAGGGATAAATAAATGATTAGTATCTATTTTCTATTTAAATATAAGATTTAGGTATTTAGTCCGAGGGATGGGCAATGGAGGTGCCCCCCCCCCCCAACTTGCCAAAATAGATGTCTGAAAGAAACACTTTCCGCTCCTACATTTCGGTCGCCTTAACAATAAAACCAATTAATTTAGTCACCGCAATTTCATACCTCGCTTCCTCGCTGGCGTTAATTAACGACAGCATTTGAAATGTTGCTTAAAATAGACGAAGGCATGCAACCGACTAATGAGGAAGTAAATTGTGCAGACCGAAACACTCAAATCTTGTTTGTATTTTTATAGCGGAACACATTGTGCGTGTTATGCTATGGCTAGGTCATGACGGGTTCGTCTTACCGTGTACATCGGGTATAATGTCTGGTGTTCATCTTGTTTTTTCTGTACACGCTACGTGTGAATATAGTAACGTGTGTAGCATATACCAATGAATGTATTCAAATAAAAGGTAGGTGGCTTAATTATATATACGAGCCGGCCCGCGACATAACATACGCCGCTATTTAGTTGTTTCTAATTTTCAATAATTCATAATTTGTGAATTCGACAGTACCAACGCTGACACTGAAAATATTTCTTTAAAACACTATAAGTAGCTCGTTAAGGACCATAACCCCCCCCCTTCCTTCCCTCCCCCCCTCCTCCCCCCCCCCTCCCCCCCCCCCCCCCTACGTTTAAAATCGTTGGCTCTGCTTGTAAACATTTAGAGTGAACACAGCTCACTAAAACCATGTAGGGTTGGGGAGGTAGGGAGAGCGTTTGCAGCTTGTTTTCTAATGGCTCGAAGAAGAGAATTATATAGGCCCTATAGATTTATAGTACTTATACATATGTTTACGCATACTAATATATATGTGTGTAGGTCTACATATATATATATATATATATATATATATATATATATATATATATATATATATATATATATATATATATATATATATATATATATATATATATATATATAAGAGAAACGAACACCAAAATATGTAACTCTGAAATTTCATCCTCTATCACTAGTTACAGATTG